AATCATCACTCTTTTTTCATCTAAGCCTTTGGGATAACATATCTCTGGTTCATTTTTATCTTATCTGCTACAGATTCAGGAAATTGTGACCACTGGGAAGCTATCCAAGTTGGAGCACTTTGAGAACGATGAAAAGGTGCTGTATTTGTAAAAGTTTGAATGAAAACTCTTTTAATGGGATGCATAGTTCTGTTGAATCACGTTAAACAGATTCGATGGTAGAAATTTTTCTTTGACCTTCTAATTCTTGACTTAACTGTTATAATGGAGTAAGAAGCAATACCTAATAGCAATAGATTTATTTAGGTCATGGAGCTTAAATCATAAAGGATGATGATTTTGTGATACCTGGTTGCTTTCCATTTGATCAGAAATCATAATCTTCCAAACGAAGCTAATGTCTGTAGACTGAGGAATTGTAACAGGTTCAAGAGGATATTAATCAACATAGCATTGGGAGTTTTATGCTCAAATCCTTGAACAAGATGATACTCATTTATTACTTCTGAATTTTCTTTAATGTATTCCCAGATACGGTCAATCAGCTTATTTGGAGAAATATGGGGTATTGGACCCGCCACTGCACTGAAACTTTATGATAAAGGATACCGGACCCTGGATGATCTAAAATATGAGGAATCATTAACTAATGCTCAGAGGTTAGGCTTAAAATATTTTGACGACATTAAAACAAGAATTCCACGTCATGAGGTGAGCCTCTATTGCTTTATAATCATATTTAACAGCATGTAATTTCAATTTTGTATTTTGATATTTTTATTACCTTCTTAACACTTGCGGAAAAAAATATAGGTTCAAGAGATGGAAAGTCTTCTCAAGAAAGTTGGAGAGGAGATTTTACCTGGGGTAGTAATCTTAGTTCTTTGTCTTATTTTGGATGTGCTTAATTATCATTTTCTCTCTTTATAACCTGTTTCTCCTGACTATTTTGGGTGCCGATTGTTTCTTCTTCGAACTTGGTTTTAATTACCATTTGAAGTCAATTATTTTTAAATTTTAAAGTCAATTTACAATGCAGGGAGCATTAGAATGCTTGATGATACTTGGTTTCTCATCTTTTACTGTTATTAATTGTTGCAGGTGGTTGTAGTTTGTGGAGGATCATTCAGACGTGGAAAGACATCGTGTGGGGATATGGACTTTGTAATTACTCATCCTGATGGAAAAAGGTGTAATTTTGACTGCAATTACTCTCAACTAGTTCAAATTTCATTCCGCTTGAAGGAATTTAAAAATGCTACTATGTTGATTGACTTTTAACTTCCGTTGATTTTCATTATTAAATCTAAAAGCTATTGGTATTTAGGTACCAAAATTTCTGAAGCTGATATTCAAATTCCTGGAAAACAACCATTTTCTCCTTTTGTTTTCTTCTTTGAAACCGGACAACATTATCCATTCAAATCATATATACACAAATGCGCTCGTGCACATACATACACAAGGGAAAAGCGGGATGGATTTTGTCTATATCTGTCCAGATTTTCGTATAATTTTGATGTTACCCATATTATTCCTGAGAACAAATGGAACCTAAGTAATATCCATTTTATGTGTACTTTGGAAGCTTTTATCTCGAAAGCTGATTACTGTTTTCCATTAATCCAGTCATATTGGCTTTCTTCCTAAATTTGTGAAGCGCCTTAAAGATATAAACTTCTTAAGGGAGGATCTGATCTTCAGTATTCATAGTGAGGAGGTAACTACTGATTTCATCATATTTGAATTTTTCTCTTCATAGAATATCTAAATCTAGATGTTCACTTAATATAATATTGAACCCTCCACCACCATAATTATTACAAGGAAAGTGGATACGTACTCACTCGTCACAACTAAAAGATAGAATTGGAAAGAGAAAAAAATCCATCTATAAAGTTCATAGATTTATTGCAGGCATAAGATTAATTACGTAGATCATCACATTAAGGTGTACATACTTTCATTATGTTTTGTTGCTTAACTTATTTTCCTTTTTGATCTCGTATTCTATGCTATTTGCATACAGGGTACAGACTCTGGAGTGGATACATATTTTGGCCTTTGTACCTATCCTGGTCGAGAGTTACGACATCGTATAGATTTAAAGGTATTATGCTCAGATTTATGTGCTTGTTTCAAAACAAGAACAAAACGTTACTCCTGTAATACTAAAAATATCCCCATCCGTAGTTGTGACATGAATATTAATCATTGACAGGTACTGTGAAAAATAGTCTATATAAACTGACATTTGTTTCTTTCAAATAAAGGTAGCTGTTTCCTGATATGTTGGTTAATACGTGATCCACTTGTTGATGTGCTGGGTCTGAAATTGTCATTTCAATTAACGTGTATTTGATGCAGAGTAATGGTATCGAATTCCAACAAGGATTTTGGTACCACCTTAAAAGAAAAGCGCGAGATGTGGGTTGACCTGAAATTAGTAGTGCATAGTTCTTTAGGCTGGTTAGTCCATCGCATTTCCTTCGCGAAATGGCTCAGATTGGTATTGCTGTTGTCATGGAAAATTGTCTAAAATATCTTTGATAACGTCATATCATGTTAATTGATCCGTTAGAACGTTCATTGGTTGCCCATATAAGAATGTATCTATATCTATCTGTATGTATCCATCACATTTTATGTCAATGCACTGTAAAAGGGCAAATGCTGAGACACACGGGGAGGTTGCCAATTCATTAAATATTGCATCTTGTAATCAAACTTACCTTTGGGGACCAAATTTTGACTGGTATAGCTCTTAGGTTGTGTTTGGCTCACCATATTAGACTGTATAAGGAATTCTGTAGAGGGGTATTATGGTGGATTAATGTAGATAGTATTCTTTTATTTTTAATTCAAAATAATGTTATTACTGTATCTTTCTTATCATGCCTAAACCCATCTCCAACTTTTGCGTTATGTTATACGGTTCTAAGTGCAAATGACTATCTTTTGAATGAAAAACTAAAGAATATTAACCACCTTAATCCACCATAATACCATCTATTATAATTTCATAATACATTCCTTATATGACCTAATCTGGTGCGTCAAACATGCCCTCAAGGAGCAAGCAGGATGGTATGGATCAGTATGGCCTTCTCAGCCCACCTCATCTTGTCCTAGTTGAGTCAGTCATTTTGGCTTATCTTCGAGCTGAGTTTTGGCTCATTTCAATTCGGTGCCAAGTGTAATTCACTCATTAAGGTTTGAATACAGCTGATCATGCAAAGGCCATATTCACATAGTTCTTTTTTTATTTATAGGTTTATCCAAGGGATATTTATGCATTTGGACTAATAGCATGGACAGGGAATGATGTACTAAACAGGAGGTATGACTATCTTCATAACTTGTATTTTTCATCCGTGTTATAAATCTCCGTGGTATTTTGCTTCAGGTTGAGATTAGTAGCAGAATCGAAGGGATTCAGACTCGATGACACAGGACTGTTTCCCGCTACTCAAAGTTCGGGTGGCAGACGGGTAAGAATAGAATTCTAGTTTATTAGTAGTAGATGCTTAATTCCATATTTGATGTTTCTTTTTTGTATATATTATATCTATAGGGAAGCAAGGGTAGTGTGGCTTTGAAGTTTGAGACGGAGAAAGAAGTGTTTGATTTCCTTGGATACCCATGGCTTGAACCTCATGGAAGGAACTTATGAGGACGCAAGTATACAGTGCAAGTTTGAAGTTTTTAGAAGGGCTACTGTTTGTTTTTGTGCTGCTTTCTCGACTTGTAACCACACAAGTATGTGAGATGGAGATTGTAAATAACATGCACATATCCGAGTAAATATTGTATATGCGACACCTACTTTATGAGTGCACCTCGACTTGTTTTTGTAGGGTTCTATACAAAAATTTGATTGTCTTGTTTGGTTACAATTTGTCAATATCGCAATGAAACGATCAACTTACGTGTATCTTTGCATGTTATTCGAATCAAGTTGTTCGTTTGAGCTTAATGAGCTATTAAATCATAGTAATGGACGTAGCTCAAACCCTTGTGTGTCTATATTTTTATCTTTTTACTATGTAGAATTTATTCGTTGTCATGACCAAATGTGTAATATAATTAGATCATTATAATTTCTCTCTATATATTTCCATGGCTTATCTGCTAATAGCTAAGATTCCTAGTAGAATCAAAGGGATTCAGACTCGATGACACACGATTGTTTCCTAATAAAGGTTTCGAGTAGAGAGTGGGAACAAATCGGTAGAACCTTGTAGCAGTAGTTGCTTAGTTCCATATTTGATGATGCATTATGGCTATTATTTATGAATTTTGCAGGGCCACTCACACTAGCGGGCCCACATGTTTTAAAAAAAGGAAAAAAATTACACCCTCCAAAGTGAGTGGCCTGACCGTGAACCATCCCCCTTGTCCTGTACGTGTAGCATAGTTGATTATTTATAGATGAGTAAATTGTACGTATGACGCGTACTTCTATATGAATGCAGTTCTCTTTGTTTTCCAAAAACTTAGATATATTTGATCGTCTTGCGGGTTACAATCTCTTAATTTAGTGCGACGGTCAGTTCATTTTCTGATCTAGGATGGATAACAAAAAAATTGAGTTTGTTTCACTTGAAATTTCATAATTCTAAGGGCTAGCATAGGGCATGAATGTGATAAAAATCAAGCTCACTCAATGAATACAAGGCCTATAAAAGGTTTTAACCTTCCCTAGCGGCGTCATATTTCATTCTAAACCTTCAAGTTTTAACCCAATCTATAGAGAGCAAAGACCAATGGTTCGGCTTCTTGTATAACAGACGACAGTTTCAGGCAATCAACTCAGCCGTAAATCCAATTCTAGTCTCCTTGTATATGGCAGTGAAATGATCTACTTGATAACTCTGCATTTACAAATTACAAACTTGAAGGAATCCTATAATGTCCTGAAACCACGGATCAAACTTGATATGCCAGCCGACTAATTGGAGCTCGTCAGTATAACGTGATTATTTGAATGTACGACCCGCTTAGAATTGTTTGCGACTTCGCTCTAGCAGTTCTTCCCAATCAATGAAACGCTCGAGCAACTCCGTTTCCTTTAGAACTAAGCAATCCTCGTGCTTCCCGAACCAGTCATAGCGTCGCTTGGCAACATAGTCATAGGCAGCATCTCTCAAAGGAGTCGGAACAATCATGAGGGTGCTCAACACGGAATAAGGCAGTGGTAAGTGAGACAGAACCCTCAAAGCAGCTGAAAAGAAGACAGAAAATGAGAAATCTTTTCTCAAATAATCTTAAAACAACATATATATGCAGAATTGGTATAATATTCTAGAGAATGGTTCATAAAAAGCAAAGGACAGCAATAATAATGATAATAAATAACTCATTTCATGCATCAAGGTGCGTATTTAGCAAACATAGCAAAAGGAACTGACAGAAACTAGAGTTTACGAGAGTTCCCTGTATATGAAGGCACTCGCCTTTCCAAGGGGGAAAAAGGAAGAGGCGCACAGAGAAACTAAAATGGTTCCCTTGGTATCCTAAACGAAACCTTTAAGCCATTTCTTCCCCAAATGATGATGAGTGGTCAGATAACATACAGCATCAAATTCCAAACAACTGTGTCTTTTGCCCATTTTCTTCGATTCCCACGTAATTTCCCTTGTAGACCCCGAAGAAAAGAATAATAATTTGGTACCTCAAAAAATACTCAAATTGTAGGTTTCAATTTAGTTCTACATCAAATGTCAGGAAGGGCATGTTCATCTTCTCTGTGGTTGTAACTCCTTGTCCGTACAAGTACAATGAGTTTTCTGATGAATGATGTTTATAATATATATTCAATGAAATTTGAATGATTGATAGCCGGAAATTGAATGGCTAACATTTTGAAGCAAGGCATGTAATCTTGTACCAGGAAATTGTTTGGAAAATTTCAAAAAAGTGTGGAAACCCAAATTTATTCAATATACAACAAACCTCCCCATGGTTCAAAGGATTGAAGAAAGACTGATCAAAGGAAATTCCAAAGTAAAAGAAAACAATTTAAAAAAAAAAGGTGAAAGAAAATGCTTCATGACGGGAAGAGTACATCAAGCAAGCCAAATAGAAGCAAAATCACACAAATCAATTAAAAAGGCATTATATTCGCCATTTCATCAACAAATTTGTCAGCATAATAGAATTTCATTCTGCAATGTGGTTCATCATATGAATATGTTCTAACAATATGCCATTGTAAGATCCATTAATTGTGAACAAGAATGAGAAAAAAGGAAGTACCAGTAGAGCCTTGGTGGTATAAACCTGGACCTTCAATGAACAGAAAGCGACGGAGAACATCCTCTTTGTCCACACCGCACACTCTCATGTAAGGCTCGGCAGCTTTTGACTGTAGACAACAGAACTTGATTTTCTTATCCTTGTCGGCCTTAATTACCCACTTCACTCCTGCACATTTATAGCATGCAGAGCAAGGTCTTAGGTGTGAAATAGCAGGATAACAACAATAACTATTAACATGTGAGCAGTTGTTAAAATGGAAGACCATTGTACTTGTCAAACTAATGCAAGGCTTCATCAAATACAAGATAAAAACTAATAGTTTTTAACTTCATCACATATTACATTAACATAAGTAGCGCAAGAACTGATTTTTATTTAATTTGGAACGTGATAATCTGAACTTCTGTAGAACAAGAGAACTTCAAAGCCATGACATTGACCTCTCATGCAAAGATTATATAATCTCACAATCTCCACAACATCTGTGCTGTAAAACACGCAATGCAATCACATTACCAAATTCCAGCTACTTTCTTTTTAATGTAGCTTTCATCTATCAAAAGCATTCATCAAATTACTAGGCCATTGACATCTCAGTACTAATCACAACGCACGAGTACCGCTCTCGCTCTTTTCCATGAACTCAGCCCTTCTGCGCTCCATGGATCCTGTTACCTAATACCCTAATTGCATGAATTACGATTACTTTCGGCGATAAATAGCTCTGATTAATAGTAGCACTCACAATAATCTCTAAATAATAATAACAGATGAGCTCATTATAATATAAATATTTCTTCGACAGCTAATTTATGCACTTAAAATTCATCCCGTCACATTAACAATAATTCATAATTGAAACGTCATTGATGACAGATCTTTGTCTTGAATGTCGATTAATGTATTTTTCTTTTCCACTTTCAATTTCCTTTTCTCACTCAAGCTTCTTTCTATGTGATCACTTTACTCCAAGTGGAAAGAAAACAAACAATCGTTATGCAAACATTGAACAGCTTTGTCGATCATGGCAATGAAAATAACGTCTACAGTGCACTCCTAAATAAATTTCTATAAGACTAACAATAAAATGAACACAAACTAATAATCTCACGGATGAAACGAGAAAAAATATATAAAAATTCAATCTTAGGATTGAATTATTCCAAAGCATTTAAATACATAAAACACACACTACTACATATATACGTATAAAGAGAGCGACAGAGGGAGTGAAAATAAAGAGAAAGTACCGGTGTGGCAGAGGTGACAAACGCCGTCGTATACAACAACGCGAGGACGGAGCAGCGTGGGTAACATCTCAGCCCCGGTCGTAGCAGAAACCGTTGATTCATCAAGAAGAATATCATCAGTTGCCGCAGCGCAACTGTCAGGTGACCGTGGCGATGAAGCAGGCGTGGAATAGTAGCGAGGAATCAAAGATTTCGGGATCAAATCCCAATTTCTTCCTCTCAACGCCGTCATTGTCAGTACAGATCGCCTTACCATCCTCATTCTACTGTTCATTTACGTGTGAATTGAATTATTGCAGATAGATTACCAATTTGAGATCATTTTCAAACTTTTGTTCCTCCTCCTTTCTCTTTCAGTTCTGTGCATTTCTTCAGCTCCAAGGGGTTATATTTACAAGGAATCGAAATGAAAGGGCCCCGTATAGCGATTTAACGGTCAAGATCACTATTACGCGTCCCACTTCCATAATGGTAGAAAACACTGTATGCTAAAACTTTTTAACTTATTTGTAATAAATTTCCATAAAATGGTTCTGTTTATTTCGAATTAAAATCAAATTTTAATTTAAGTCAAAGTCAAACAATAAATATTAATCACATCTTTCATGGACCCCATAACTTTCCAACCACACATTTTAAAAACTCTCGTCACAATCTAATTTTAATCATTACCAAACACCCACTATATATAGATGAAGAATATTTTCTCGGTCAAATTTATTTGAAAACAAACGTTTTCTTTTCCCTGTAAATTTCCTTATATATAACATTAAAATAGTCTAAAATTTTAAAAAGAACAAAAATAATAAAAAGGCAGCATGAACTTTTCCTCCTTTCGTCCAAGAAAAAGAAAATTATTCTAACAATTTATGTTATTTCGGTGGGGATGATCAATACGCAGTAAAGGACGACGCTGTAGGCAATAAAATCATCACACTTAACTCGACCGGATTCGATATATGGCACTGTCTATCTATCTCCTCAAACAATAAGAGGCAAGAGCTGGTATTTGTGCCACTGAATTTCAATATATGCAGCTGTTAACTTGCTGAGAGGCAGTACTAAAACCAATCAGCTCGGCCAGCTGCAGATTTTAACTTCTTAATCTCTTTTAATCAACCATGCATACCAAATCAACTCCAACCAAACACAAATACAAAGCGACAACGTAATTTATGGGAAAAGTAAGTAGCAAAGCATTCTTATCAATTGTAACTCCAACAAATAACTAATTATCAAAATCGGATTATCACAACATAAAAGATCAAATCAATCCACAGTAAGATTCTCCACATCCATAAAGCCCTCCAAAGCTTTCAAAGCAACTTGCAGCACTGGATAACGACACAGTGCTTAGGGATTCAGTGTATAGTTTGGGAAGTATGAATCCTCCCTGCAACAGACAAAGCAGTGAATGAAATTAGATTTGATAGATTGAATGTGCACTCAAGCTATTATAGCCTGCTTAGGAATTCACTATTTGCCTGACAGTCAGGAAGGTGTAAAGGCAACATAATATCTTGTGCAATTTGGGATAGACAAGTGGAACTAAGGGCATACAAGGCATGAACATTCAGTATTCATCTCAATACTACTATAAGTTAGGCAATAGAAAGATCTGATAAGGGTACCACGAATAGAAAAGCAGTGATCCAATACTTACTGTGTTCATGCCTCATGGTGATTTCCACTCTCTATATTGGCCTCTAAAACTCCAACACAGTAAATACAAATATCTTGCTTCCTTTTCATCTTTATTTTAAGAGAGAGTAGGTGTTTTCTCTTCCCCTTTTTTGGGGTGAATTGGGGACGGGATGGCAATGTTATTCTGGGCACTAAGCAAGATTACTGTGTGGACAAATATGCAGAAATTAACCTGATATGCGACAAGATTCTATTTTTTATACCTGGATGTTACTAGCGCCTATCTGTTTTCCCAGTGGAGCGCTTCCCCGAGAACAAATGTTTTGGTCTGAGAGTAGGAATGACTCTGTCTGCCTCTCCCTTGCGAGCATCTTTGTTCCTCTTCTTGTGAGATTTTTCTGCCAGTTTTACAGCCTTCTTCTTCTGAGCAGAATCTTTCAATCCCTCTCCCGGAACCACTTCATACGGTGGCCGTGATTTTGACCTTGACCTCGACTGGGATCTTGACCTCAACCGCAGCTTCTTATTTGATTGGTTACCATCCACGTCCATGTCATCAGTACCACTCCTGTCAATTGATCTCTCCCTCTTTCGACCTCTAGACTTACTTCGAGCCCGGTTGATTGCCAGAGTTGGATCAAGTCCCAAAGTTGATAACTGTCTCCCCATTCTTTCCGATGTAAACTGTTTGTCTTTATCGAATTTTCTGGGTACAGTTGGTCGGCTCTCTGCAGTGCTCTTCTTCATTCTGTGCTGTTGAATGAGCAAGCTTTTCTTCTTTCTGATTGCTGCCAGTGCCTCTTGCTCTTCAGGGGTCAGCTCAGCTCCATCCATCTCAAAATCATCATCTGCCTCTTGTTCCTGGCGCATACCTTCTTCTCTCTCCAATTCTTCAAGCCTTTGTAATATATCAGGGTCAACAAAATCGTATACATTGTGCCCATCAAGAATTTCAGGCATGATGTCTTCTTTCCATTCATCATTTGCCAGAATATAATGCTTCCGCAAGCTCGCAGAGTACACACCTGCACCTCCATTCTCATTCTCCAGATCCTTCTCCAGTTTCTTTTGTTTCTCGGCAGCTTGCTCAGCTTTCTTGGCTTTAGCTTCTAAGACAGCCTCAGGGATACAGGTTGCCCTTTCCTTCTGGTCACGTGGCTTTGGCATTGCAACATGGAAACGGTTCAGGCAGTCATTCAACTTTTTCGACTTCATTTTTAATTCCACCCTCTGATCCAACAGCCTCTCACAAGCAGCATTCTTTACTGCAATCACACCCTCCTCGGTCAAGGTGCTCATAGTCAATAGCACGCCCTCTTCATTTGTTGGCTCACCCCCTTGACCTATCAAAGTTTTCATAGCTTCAGCTTTCATCTCGACAACTAGCTTCATATCATCTTCGGAAATCCCTTCCAATGCCTGCAAGTCAGTCTTATTGCAGACTATAATCAATGGTTTGTTCATAAACAATGACTTGATGCTGTGGAAAAGAGCCGCCTGCTGAGCAATGCTGTACCCACAAGATCCAGATATATCAAGGAAAAACAACACAGCAGCTCTTAAATGGGCAAGAGCAGTAATACTGCACATTTCAATGATATTACGATCCTCAAATGGCCTGTCCAAAATCCCTGGAGTGTCAATCACTTGGTATCGTAGATATTTGTAGTCAGTGTGACCAACGAACAGCGATTTTGTGGTGAAAGCATAAGGCTGTACATCCACATCAGCCCTTGTAATTTTATTAATAAATGAACTCTTGCCAACGTTTGGGTACCCACATATCAAGATTGTCCGAGTATTTGGATCAATTGAAGGAAGCCTCGCCATGTGTTGTCTTATCTGTTCAAGATAAGCCAAACTAGGGCCAACACGTTTGATCACAGTACACATACGGCCTAGAGCAGCAACCTTCAAGGACTTGCATCGATATAGAGAATCTCCATACTTCAACAATTTCACATAGTCCTTAGCAATCTTACCAATCAGGTTCCTAGCAGTATTGATTTGGCCAAGGGCAAGCTTGTAATGGTCCTTGTTGTACAGAACATGGAGAAGGTCACCATAGAAAGGGTGGATATCATCAAGGCGAGGGAAATCCTCAATAATGGTAGAAAGTTTATCATGAAAGTTTTGCTGCGTATACTTCACTTTGCGCATGTAAAACTGACGGATACGTGAGATTGCATATCCCTTGTGAACAACAGTTGGTGTCTGGCGCTGGGTGCGGGAGAGAATGATATCAATAAAGTCCTTCCCAGTGGGAACCACCGTAATCTTTTTAAAATTGTACTGCACCATGTCTTAGCCTTTTTTTATCGCTATGAAAGAACAAAATTCAAATTTCAGTACAAACAACTAGGCATCATTAACACAAGTAAACAGAAGCACGAGGAGGAATAACGGGCAATCCTTAAAAAAAAAGGGAAATTTCTGCCATAATCTGCAATATTACTTCCTACAAATTTTCACGTCATCTATCTCAATTTAAATCATTAAATTTTCACAGAAATACCAACCATTGCATCAAAGCAAAATACGAAGCATACACGGAAGAACCCACAGAAAAATACCTTGCCAGTACATAAAATTCTAAATTCCTTTACCAATAATCATTATTTGGTCCAAATTCCGATAGACTAATAATTATTAATTAAACAAGCCGAAAATAAATAAATTGCCACTTACCTTGGAGAACTGAAGAATTCTTGGACAGTGATGGAAACCGGAAAAGAGAGAGAAAAATGGCAAAATATGAAGAAAGAAGAGAGGAAAGGGAGAAGTCGGCTGTTGGCTGTGCATTTGAAGGAAAACGAGTTCAGGTTTAGGGTTTTAGTGTCTTACAGTATATTAATAGGTTACCTAATAGAAGGGAAAATTTTATTGAAATCCCCAATTTATGATTTTTTCAGTAAGTTGGTCTTTAACGTATTTTCTTTTACATTTATGATCTAAATCTTCATTTCCATAGCTCTTTAGTCCTAGGTATACATATTGCATTCATAGTGACATTAAAATGCATAGTTGTCATACTCGATCCGGACAATGCAGAGGGTCAATGAGTTAGTGGTTCAACCGATGACTCGTTGGATCAATCAGTGAGTCATTACATAAAAACCTACAAAAAAATATAAAGTATAAATTTTGTTTTAGAGGCAAAATTAAAATTTTAATTTATTTTTCACTAATTATTTAAGTCTATAAAATAAAGTATAAGGTTGAATGAAAATTTTTTAAAGAAATATTTTTATAAAACCTATAAATTATTCATTAAATAGATATAAGTTATTTCCACATAAGTAATATTAAAACAGTCTATCTCAAATGGCGAGGAATTCATTATTTTTTTTAGAGGTCCAATATTCAATTCTCTTGGACCCTAAAATTTTGTACGAGAATTTTAAAACCTAATCAAATCGGTCAACTGGGCTGGGTAAATCGCCAGTTAACTCGGTCAAAGTTTGACCGAGTCAAGTTCATTTTGATTAAATTAATCTGCTGGCCCGCTCAAGGGATTCAGGCCTCAGTTTTCCGGGCCGACCGTCTGCGCCGAGTTTTATAACTATGTTAAAATGGCATGCGACACATGCTCTTGTATGTATGTTTTTTTTT